ACCTAAAGCTAAATCCACTAGCCACCTAAAGCTAAATCCACTAGCCACCTAAAGCTAAATCCACTAGCCACCTAAAGCTAAATCCACTAGCCACCCAAGGCTAAATTCACTAGCCACCCCAAGGCTAAATCCACTAACTGCAAGGCATAAGATGATGCTGTCTGCTCCATAAATATTGTGTCAGAAACCCTGCATGGGGTCACTATGAGACAAAATTGACTTGATGGCACTAGTTTGGTTTTTGTGGTTGGGGTGGAAATGTAAATTCCTGGTTGGTGGAAGAGGAAGGGAGGCTGTTGAACTGGAATAAACCGGTTTAAAGACCAGCTTTGAAATGACTGACTCCACCCCTCTGGGTAGCAAAGTCCTCATCAACCACCTTCACTATTAAATCGTGGGAAAGGCTTCGAGCCTTGTCATGCTCTCAGGTCAGGCTGCATCAAAATCACCTGTAGCTGTTCTGACTTCACTGCAAATTTAACCTAAAGATACACTCAGGAACAGACTATAACCTGGGCTGCCTGCGCAGATCTGAAAGTTTGTGGAGCCTGCAAGAGGGAGTTTTCCACAGAAGGAAAGCTATTAAGGCCTGGGCCAAGTTACTTACAATAATGACAACTTTAAAAGGAGTTTTTATCTGTTTTTCCAACTTGCTAAGAAGGTCAAAACTGACAATGTTGACCAAGCCAGCTGTCAAGCAGTCTTTCCCGGTCACCACGACATTGATGCGGTCAGGGCTCAGGGATGGCAGCCACCGGAGGAAGGCCTGGGGGTGACAGGAATGATCAATCATTAGCAACACTCTCAACTTTAATGCTCCCTGAAAGCTGAGCTCAGTGCCTTCCCTCCACACAACTCTGGAGGTGACTGCAGTCCTTGTCCCCAGGGGCCCCCAACAGCTCCACTTCCTGTCCACAGCCATTCACTTCCCTTTAAAGGCAAGGAAGCACCTGTTGACAGGCACCGGCGGTGACATCTGTTGAGTTCATTTCTGTGGTTTCTAAGGGACGGCAGTTTCTGCACAGAGCGAATGAGACCCTCCTGAAGAACAATTTTATGAACCAGCAAATTCTGGTACACTGATGGCGAGCCATAAATGTTCACTGGTGATGATGAAAATACTTTCGTCATTTCCTCTCTACGAGTCCATCTGCTCTCTCCAGAAATCCTACCATCTCTAGCCAAGCCCAGTACCTGGAGCCAGTGGGAGGTCACTGGTGCCTGCCTGTCAGGGGTGCCCTGCTCGCTTCGGTGACATTATGCTAGGTTCTGACCATCAGTTTCTGCCCTGAATTTCCGGGCGTGCTCAGGGGATCTCGCAATATGCATACTGAAGAACCAACTTCTAGAGGCACTGACATAACCCAGATCATATGGATTTTGTTAAAACCCAAGGAATTGTTCGGATGCATGTTTTTTTAGGTGTTGCCTTTCTTCAGTTAGAGCGGCATGTCTGGGCAGAGGGCTGACTGCAGCGGGTCTGGCTCAGTGAGGTTTTAGGAAGACGTCACTGTGAGGTCGCTGGCAGGATGACCAACGGCAAGTTATGAATGATAAAGTAGGAGTTTCCTCCTCACTAGCGGTACATCAGCTGGCCTGGTCCTGAGGATTTTTATTAATTTCACAGACCCCTCCGATCCCTGGGTTTATGTAGAAGAAGCTTAAGGCAAGGTGACAAGACATTGCGTCCATCTGGTTCTTTACTGACAAAGTTATCTGGTGGTGCACACCCTACCCACACTGCCTCCTATGAAGCACAAAAACCCTGAGCCAAGACGTCAGGAGATGTGACTTCAAACTCTCCACTGGGGGTAAGTGCAACAGCTGACCTCTTAAAGGTCCAGTTTGCTCATTCATAATTAGGGCTAAGAGCTAGCACGTCTAACGCACATGGCTACTACAATATTAAGGGGGATTTGTTGTTGTTAAGTGCCATTGAGTTGGTTGCAACCCATAACGACCCTGTATAGGGTTTCTGAGGAACAGCTGGTGAGCTTGAACTACCGACCTTGCAGTTCAAATGACTTTGCAGTCTGGCGCATTAACCCACAGCGCCACACCAGGACTCCATTAAGGGGGGGATAAAGGAGGAAACAATATTTAGAAGATTAAGGGAAATTTAGAAATTTTCTAGTTTCTGGGTGGAACAAATGGTTAATGTGTGTGGCTGCTGACTAAGGGGTTGACGTCCATCTGGAGGGGTCTACTTTTAAAAACTCAGACACTGAGAACCCTACGGACCATAGTTCTACGCTGACACACATATGGTTGCCAGGAACCAGAACTGACTTGAAAGAAACTGGTTCTTTTTAGGAAGTCTCTGTCCATAGACGGAGGCAGGTCCCTGAGCTCGAATGCTGGAGTTGTGAGCTGCCACCAAGTTGGTTCCGACTCATGGCCACCCCATGCTGTGTTGGGATTTCAAGGTTGTGACCTCTCAGAAGTAGCGCACCAGGTCTGGCTACTGAGGGTCCTCTCCCACAGTCTCACTGTTTACTCCTGTGGCAGGACAAAGAGAACTGACCTGCTCCCAGGTGAAGCGCACAGACGAAGGCACCACCACCAGGAGTGGCCACTCCTTTCGGTAGAAGGCGGCGATGCAGATGGCTTGGATGGTCTTCCCCAGTCCCATGTCATCAGCAAGCAGCAGGCGGCCTCTTCTGGCTATGGCAAAGCTGAGAAGAGACCAGGTCAGGACACCAGGTGTGTCTGTGAAGTGGATAAGCTCTGCTCTCCAGGGGCTGCCTACTGCCCAGCACTGGTCCCAAGAAGGGCCCTGCTCCCCAAGAGGAAAAAGCAAGAGTTAAGGAGTGGGCAGAATTGAACAGGGGAAAGTCAACAAAGGGAAATGATGAAACAGTGGCCTCCAAAGAGAGTGAGACCTAGAAAACGTTCCAGTAAAAGAAGTAGCCTCGGCGGGGATGTGGAGAGACTGGGAGGCTCCTACGTTGTTGGTGGGACTGCAAAACGGTCCAACTTCTCTGGAAAGCAATATGGTGCTTCCTCAGAAGGTTGGGAATAGAAATACCGTATGATCCAGCAATTCCTCTACTTGGTATTTATCCACAAGAAATACAAGCCATAACATGAGTAGATATATGCCCACCAATGTTCATAACAGCACTATTTACAATAGCAAAAAGATGGAAACAGCCAAAGTGCCCATCAACTGAAGAATGGATAAACAAATTGTGGTATATACACACAATGGAATAGTATGCTACCTTGGAAATAACAAGGGAGCTGCAAGCAACTGCATAACATGGATGAGCCTTAAGGACATTATATTGAGTGAAATTAGTCAGTCACAATAGGAGAAATACTGCATAGGACCACTACTGTAAAAGACTAAGAAAAAGAACCCATACTAAAGGGGGGTGGAGTCTTTGCTGGTTGCTAGGATGTAGGGGTGGGGGAGTGAGGGGAGGGAGGTGAAGGTGGAGTATAGGCCAGGGAATAGACACAGGATAGTTTAGGTGCTGGGGAGAGGGGCAATACATAAGAAGGGAGAGGGGAATGGAAGAACAAAGTAGATGGGAGAACAATTACGCAGGTCTGAATGGGCTAAGTGGGACAGAGGTAAATAATGATGTATGTACAACCTTGGAACAACAGGGCTCTGGGATACATAGATTGAGACATGGGGAAAAGGGGAAAATAATGCTAAGATGCTTGGCTGTCTTTTGAATCTTGGTTTTCCTTGTATAAAATAGACACTGGAGGGGGAGAGAAAGGAATAGCCAGAAACTTCACCAAAGAAAGTCTGTAAGTCCACCTTCTGCCTATAACTGATTGGAATACCTAAAATGGGGCTACAACTTGCCCAGTGAAGGAGGCTTCCTGTGAAGCCTCTGCAATACATAAGACTATAGGTGGAAGCCTGAACACCATCCAGATCCTCAGAGATGGAAAATTCTCACTTGAAAGGACGAACAGACCAGCCTGGAGTGGCTAGAAGAACAGAAGATACTTCTTGAAAGAAAGACCTACAGGAAAAATACAAAACAATATAGGCAGACTGACTGATTACTACAAGAACAAGCAAGCTGCTTGCCCAGGAGATATCAAGGCAAGTGGTCGGGTCCCCTCAGTGCAAACCCCCTTCCAAGACTAAGACTCAATGGGAATACACACTCTGATTGGTGACCATGCTCGTCACTGATAAGGAGAAGTGAGGGAAAAACAGCAATGAAGCTGCGAGCTAAGTCCTACAATGTTAAATAGACTCCTGTGAACCCGGGTGGAGACCTGGTTGGCCAGCAGTGTGGCAAGACCTGGAGACTCTTGAACCCAGAGTCAGTGATATAGCCACAGAGGACTAGACTGGAGAGTGAAGCGTCCAGCTGATAAGAAAAAAGGACATATGCACAAGAACACCCACACTTGCAGATAATACGCACTTGACCTGGCTTCAATGACTGGATGATCAGAACTCAACCAGAAGAATAAAGAAGAGGGAAAAAGAGTAATCTGACACAATTTGATGAACTTGACCTACACCTATGGATGCAGTAGCTCAAACGAGGGAACAAATCTTTACAGCAAGGATCATTCCCACCCCTCCATACACTGAGTAGACAAGGATAGGCAATTTGGACATTGGCTACCCCAAATGGAGAGACTACAAAGGCAAGAAGTGACTGGCTTACAAGCTTTCATGAGGGAACCTAGATCCAGAGGGCGTGAAGGAAAGTAGAATCTCCATGGAGTATTATCCAATCTGTCTAGGCGGGGCTGATGAAATGAAATGCGGATGGGTTTCTTGTGATACAATAGTGAATAATTGTTATCAGGACTGATTGTGAGGGTTGGAAATGTAAAGGTAGATGTTTTATAGCAAGGAGGGGAGCGATTAACTTTTCAGTCTAGGAGCAGAGGTCCCTAGGTGCTGGGGACAGCATACGCAGACCCTGGGTTGATCAGTGGCAGCCCCATTAAACCACCTCTGTATATAATCAGTTTAACCCAGATGCTCTTCTTCCTCCTGAGAGTATATAGGAATATTAAGAACAATGTAGCATTTTAGGTATAGATAAATGAAGCATGGT